CCATTTGGAATATAGGTATGTTTGAGTTTCAGGAAATAATAGAGCATGGTAGATTAGTTGTGAACTAGAACAAATAAGCCACAAGAGGGCATATTTTTCTTGGTTTCATCATTCTTAAATAAATAAGGCTTGCCTCAATTAGGTATCATAGGAATCCCTCCCTTTCTCCCACTTTCTTAGAATACACTTGTGTCCACAGCATGTTCTAAGAGTGGAGTGGTGGTGGTATGAGGTATTAAGAAAAGCAAACTTAAAGATATTTTTTTCTTATATGATGTATAGGAAAGTTGTTTGCTTTCACTTAAAATATTTCTTTGGGGATGGTTTGTTTATATAAGAGCATTGTTAAAAATAAAAAAAATTTTAAAAAAGAGTCATTTATTTTATTTTAAACTCCTCCATTCTGCAATAGCTCTGTGGAGTCCTATATCAGACACAGAAAGCCTTTCCAGCTTCTAGTGAATGTTCATAGTCAAGGAGGTTTTCTTTTCTGAGGTCTCAGGACTTGGGCCAAAGGGGTTGGGCTGTGTTTTTATTTTTGTTTTGAAGTGCATTCCTGCTGAATTTAATTATTCACCACACCCCAACCCAGCTAAGTAAATATAACCTTAAGATTCTGGCTTAGAAAGGGTTTGAAAAATAACTGATTTTTATTTTTTCCAAAAAAAAAAAAAAGGGCTACATAGCAGGGTGCTATTTTGCAGAGGACATCAAGCAAGTCACAAGAAGCTAGGTGATCACTTCATCTTCTTGTCCTTCATTTCCTCATGTATAACATGAAGACTACAGGGCCTTTGAAGTCTCTCCTAACTCTAAATGTTTATGATTATGATGTTATAAGAGTTTAAAACACAAAGACATTACAGTTTCACATTCCTATTAACTAACTATAAACTATCTTCTGTCTTTATTTGATGATAAGAAACAGGGATCCATTTACTTCTGAGAGTTCTATGCCTGTGTAATTAATGCTGCATTAAAGGTAAAAGTCAGGTGTGTTCCTTTCCACTACTAAACATGATATAATGATCTTAATATGTTACTACCTAATGATCCAGTGATGAGTGAACTGTCATGATCAAATGAAACAGATGTGAAAAAATATCTTCAGTTTATAAAGGGAAAGTATCTGATAGAAGCTTAGGAGTTGGGTGAGCTGCTTTCAATTCATGTCATCACTTGTTTCAATTAGACATAAACTAACACATACCCCAGTTTTCTTATACGAGTATAACAATATCTTTTATCTGTTGGTAGTGATGTGCTAATACATGAGAAAACATTCATAGAATAGTATTTTAATTTATAAGGCAGACAGATTTTATGTCTGACCAAGGTACAATTAGTTTTATAGAGGTGAGCACTAAATGGCTTGGGTTTCATCTCCATTTCCTTGTCTCTGTGCACAGAACTTTGCAGTCTCTTTTATCTGTCTTTTTCCTTTTAATTTCCATGGCTTTGTCAATAGAAGATTGTATAGAAAAGTACTTTCTGCTGAAAGTATAATCAAATCCTCTGAGATTCTGCTAGATTTAAACTCTGGAGCCAGTAATTATCTTTCTCCTGTCTTCTGGGCAGAGATGGCTATATGTGGAACTGGAAAAGCCTAGAATATACCTATTCTATCCTTTTCCATCCCTGCTACCTTCCTTTATGGGTTCCAACATAGATTAACGATTCTTGAAATTCTACAATTAGAATTTTATTCTTTAGCATTATTCAGTATCAAAATGTAATCCTTAAGAAATACTGTATTGTGGACTCTGGGAGAAGGCGAGGGTGGGATGTTTCAAGAGAACAGCATCAAAACATGTATATTATATAGGGTGAAACAGATCACCAGCCCAGGTTGGGTGCATGAGACAAGTGCTCGGGCCTGGTGCACTGGGAAGACCCAGAGGGATCGGGTGGAGAGGGAGGTGGGAGGGGGGACCGGGATGGGGGAATACATGTAAATCCATGGCTAATTCATTTCAATGTATGACAAAAACCACTGCAATGATGTAAAGTAATTAGCCTCCAACTAATAAAAATAAATGAAAAAAATTTAAAAAAAAGAAAAAAAGAAATACTGTATTTCATATTATCTAATGTATATCTACTACCATAGAGTGAAAATGACTTTGATTCAATCTGTGAGCCCTAATGAAGATGAGTGGTGTGTCACAGAGGAAGAAACTGGACATTCAAGACAAGCTTACTCATTCAATAAAGTTACGAAGCACCTGGAAGGAATTTTGTTTTTCCTTTTTTTCTTTTCTTTTCCCCCTCAGTCTAGAACAGATATAGCAGCACCAATTAGGTAGTGCTGATGATACACACTGGCTTCCCTGGTGGCTCAGCGGTAAAGAATCTGCCTGCAATGCAGGAGATGCAGGTCCCATCTCTGGGTCAGGAAGACTCCCTGGAAGAGGGCACAGCAACCCACTCCAGTATTCTTGCCTGGAGATTCCCATGGACAGAGGAGCCTGGCTGGGTACAGTCCATAGGGTTGCAAAGAGTCAGACACAAGCGACTTAGCACACACGCATGATGAGAGACATCTCTTTCAGTGAAATTAAGGATAGTTTGCTGATACTCGACCAGTCACCCTTGAAGATAAGCTAAACTATATAACACACCTTACATTTTAAGAAGAACTTTCTGTAAAATACTTTTCATGTGTGTGTGTGTGTGTGTGTGTGTGTGTGCTCAGTCTTTTCCTACTGGATGTTATTTTAAGAATCCAGATTGGGAATTAACCAACACTGCAGGCCAGATTACCAAACTGCTTTAGATAACAGTAAATTTCAAAGTCTTAAAAATAGTTGTAAAACCATACTAGGGATATGTGGGAGCCATACTTTGTGGGATCCTGTAGTTAGTAGAAATTTCAGAAATAAATTCAGTGACTAATTATTGTCATCACATTCACTGTTTTCATTAACTCATTTAACCCCCAAATATTTGTTAAGCACCCACCATATGCGAGACACTCAAGGAAGTATCGTGAGGATCACAAAGCCCTGGACACAGCTGAGGCCATTCATCACAACTGAGCTGTGTGGTTGACTCTGCCTGCTGCGTGCTCAGAGTAATTAAAGGGAAAGAAAGCACAGAACCCAGTTTCCAGATGTTGTCTTCTCATGGTATGTTCTGGATGCCCTAGAAAATGCAGCCTAAATTTGAAGTCAGGGTACTTCAAACCAAATCAGCTTAATACAAATTCATAGGCATTCATTGTTTTAGGAGCTAGAGAAACAAGAACACAAAACAGGTGATACTCTTGTATGGGATGCAGACAAATGCATAACTTAGTATGATATAATGTGAAAGAGATGTATTTGGTAGTAAAATCAAAGTGCTTTGGAAAAACAGGAGGGATTGACTATTTCTTTGGGGGGTTTTGTGGAAAAGGTTGAGACAGTAGCAAAAGGGAGATGTCATTTGGCTTTAGTATATTAAACTAGGATTTGAGACAGAAGGGGAAAAGGGGAAATCCAGAGTTAACCACAATTCTAGTTAAATACAACATTCTGGCCAACAAACTGACAACATACTAGAAAATTAATAGAGTAAAAATCAAAAGCTACTTGTCATAAACCCACCAGGAGCAAAGCTGGGGGAGAAAAAAGAGGTATTTTGTCATCACAGTGAGCTTGCAATTTGGTCTGGTGGCAATGACCTAAACAAATAAAAACAACAAAAATATTTTAAAATGCAGCAAACATATCAAGCATATGGTTAACTATAAAATGAGTGGTACAACACTGAATAGAAAGCATGCAGCAAAAAAACATGGCTATATGTTGGAATGGTCTGTAAATTTTCCTGTATCCAAAGAGGAAAATTATGGGGTTGGTTGGTTGACAGTCAAAACCAAGGTTACAGTGATGCGGCAGTATGAGACACAGGAAAGAACCTTGGTTAGAGTTAGGAAACTTGAGTCCCTCCTAAGCTGGCTCTGCCACCAACCATCTGTAACTTAAAATGACTCATTTAGCTCTGGTAGCCCTCAGCTCTCTGCTGCAGAGGAAGGCTGAATGAAGAGCCTCCTCTCCCAGACCAGTTCTTCCATTGTTGCCATTGTCTGCTCATTGCCCCAAACCAAAACCCCCCTTGTCATTTGCCAAGGGAGCTCTGAGACCCTACAAGCCATGCTCTTAAATCAAGCTGACAAATGCAGGACCCCGTGGCTGCTTTTTTTCAGAGGTTCCACCGCAAGTCGGTTTTATGTTTCAGACTAATAAGTGCAAGGTGTGTGACCACGGACCTAGAGTTCCCATAATAGCCACGTTAGCCAATAGGACCCAAAGTTTCAGGACTCATCATTTGCACACCCCTTCTCCATGTCCCTGAGGTCAGCCTGATAACGAATTCATTTCTAAAATCTGTGGAATCAAGTCATTAATATTTCTGTATTCGTTTTCTTAAAGAGGATCCCAAATCCTCCAAATCGTGTGAGTTCCAGGCTCCACAAAATGTGGATTCAGCCTATCTCTCATACACTTCCAAGTTTTCTATTGCATGACCAAGGTGTGTACAAATCTACAAAGGGAAAAGAAGACAGGAATAAGTGACATAAATGTTGGTCTGGTGTGAGGTAAAGAGGAAAAAAGACTTACACCTTCTATGTGTGTGTGTTTGTTTTTTTGTTTTCCTTCTGCTTGGTCCTCCCTCGGTGCCAGCCCTTTATCGGTGGGCTGATTTCTGTCGCTCATCTTTCAAGGCCAGTTCTTTCCAGGACACTAACAGCAACAGTGGATCGTAACTTTACAGACTGCAACACAGGTACTCTTTTAGAGTCCTAGAGTTTCTGAGACAAGGTTTGTCCTGTTTCTTCCGTAGGGAGTCTTTGGAGACTTCATGGTATAGAGTAAACAGGCCCTAAATTCACGGAGGCGAGGGCTCAAACGTCAGAAGTTCCTTCACATACACAGTGCCCTGTCCGGAAAAACATCCCCCAGCGCGGCTGGGGCTACATTTAATCCACGCTGCTGACAGCCCGCGCGCCAACGGGGATGGACTTCTGCACGCTGGGGAGGGCTGGCGTGCGCACCGAGAAGGGGGGCCAAGGGCTGGGGGAGGAGATCGGAAGGGGAGAGGTAATCCCCGGCGTTTTGAGCATCCCCTTTTTAGAAAGACTGAGTCTCTCCCGGGACAGCTGCTGCGGTCACACCACAAACTTAAAAGCCGGCCTCCCGCTCCGAGCGTGCCTTTCCTCGCCACCCTCGCCTGCCCTCAGCTCCAGCTGGTGCCTGGCTCCGCGCCGCTCCGACAGGGCGCGCGGGGGTCAGCAGCGCCCCCTGCCTCCCGGCCAGGCCTCTGCGGCCGCAGCCTCCGCGCTCCACCAGGGCCGCCCGCGGCTCCGCGGCTCCGCCAGCGCCGCCGCTCGGAGGAGGTCGCGCCGGTGCCCCGGGTCGCCGCCTCGCTCGCGCACCGCCTGCATCCCCTTCCTATCTTCCTGAAGAGACAGCGGGCAGCGAGGGAGGCAGAGAAGAGGTCGCGGCAGGTAAGGCAGGTTTCGGGTCACCTGCTGCTCCTGTGGGAGGGTGCTCTGGGGACCGCGGTGATCAGTAGGGGTGACTGGATTCGGGGGTGGCCGAGGGTCTGAAGTGAGGATGCCGAGCGGCTGGGAGATACGGAACGTTACGGGATGGATAGAGCTCTCCGGAGCTGACAGGAGTGGGTGCGCCGGGGGCCAGACGGAGAATCCGGCGCTGAGGCGGGGACGGCCCGGACGCGCGGCACAGGGACAGCGTGGCGGCGGGCGCAGCCCCCACACTCGCCGCCACCGCCGCAGCCTCCTCAGCCCCAATCGGGCAAAAGTTTTCCTCCCGGACGCGCCCCGGAACTTCGCTCGCTCTCTCGTTCCCTCCGGGACGCTGGCCGCCGGGAGCGCGTCTGAACGTGCCCCCTGGCTCCGCCGGCTGCAGGTTCATTCGCGGACGCGTCGGTGGGGACCGTCTGAGGAGGACTCGACCTGGGGCGTCTGCGCCCTCGCTCGCTCCTTTCCCCGACGGATGGGGGAGGGGAGGGGAGAGGCCGGGGAGACCGTGGCTGTTGTTTGGGTTGTGGTGCTTTGGGGAGGGATGGGCGACGCCTTTTGCCCTGTGAGGGAACGGTGACGCTCCTTCTGACGGGAGCTTGCATCTTCCCAGACTCGGAGGGCAAAGTTGGAAGCCGACGCCAACCTCAAAGCTGGCTGACTGGGAAAGGCGGTTCTTGCCAAACGCTCTCTTGAGGGAGCCGGGCATCCCCCGGTAGCCTCGGCTGGGCTCGCTCAGAAAAGGCTCGGTTCTGACTCCTGCCGGGAGTTTAACCCGGCCGATTTAACCCCGCGGGGTGTTCCCCAGCCCCTCCCCGAGCGCCGGGAATTCAGGCGTTAATGGTCTGCCTTGGAAGCGCCCGGGCAGTTTTAGGCATCAGCTGATTCTCCTTCCCTCACGACTGGCGTTCAGCCTCCTGGGCTGAGTTGCTTTGCTTGCTTCCCGGCGCGCGGAAGGGACCTGACAGGAGAAGAAGGAGGCGCCGTGCTCTCGCGACGAGGCTGGACTCGAAGGGACTGGACCGGAGCCGCGCGCCCGGCAGCTGCGGCCGCCGAGGTCCCCAATTCTAAGTTACCGAGACTGGAGATAAATAGGCGAACTTTCCGCTGTTTAGCCGCGAGTGAAGCTGTAATGAAAGGCAAGGACTTTCATTACAAGGAGGAGAGGACTCTTCTTTCCCCACCAAAGCCCCTCCCATCCTTCCTTAGCCTGTCAGTGCCATTTGCCAGAGAAGGGGCGAGGGGACTGAAAGTCAAATTTAGCCGGAAAGATTCTCCTCCCGTGGGTGTGTGTTGAGGGGGGTGTCCCTAACGGATGGAAAGGGTTGAGGGCGGGGTAGACGGGATGAGACCCCCTTCCGGGGTCTGGGGCAGCTATTGTGTAACCATGGCAACCGCCGGGGCAAGAGCGGTCAGAGCCTTCCGGGTTCTGCACGTGGAAAGAAAAATGTGAAGGGTGGGGAAGGGAGAGAATCACATGTCATCACTCCTGTGTTGCCTTCGCTTCTCCAGCTGTGCTGAGCCAGACAGCTAGGAGGATGAGCAGGAAAGGTCTGGGTTGGAGGTGAGCAGCCCCAGCCAGCAGTTACTTTAACTCTGTCCCGCCTCACAATCACTGAGGCCTGTACTAGCCGCTAAAGCTGGCCAGAGAAACGGTCGCTGATAGGCTACGAAGTGATGGTTCAGGTCAGGGAGATGGGAAAAGGCCTTGGCCTTTGGAAGAGAAAAGGCCAGGAAATACAGGAAGATGATGTGGGAAGAGATAAGAATAGGGTCAAAGAGGTAGCTGAGAGACAATAAAAGGGTACTGATCTGGACTGCCAACATTTCAAATGGAATCTGCCCATTTATGAAGTGGAAAACTGGTGAAAAAGGGAAGGGACAAACACATTGCATCCTAGGTATTTTGTACATTATCACCATTAATATTCTTAACAGCAGTAAGTTTCTTTTTTCTTTTTTTTTGTACACACAATTTTATTAGGCTTTATATTAGTTTCAGTCAGTAACCTATATTGTGTGACTGCCACTGTCTGAAACCTCAGCAAGGTCTCCTGCCCCTTTATCCGGTTACTGTGATCAGATTTTTCTCCCTCACAGCCAGTAATTAGGGTTAAAGTGTTACATTTAAGGGCTTCCCAAGTGGCGCTAGTGGTAAAGAACCCGCCTGCTAATGTGGGAATTGTGAGAGGAGGGTTCGATCCCTGGGTCTGGAAGATCCCCTGGAGGAGGGCGTGGCAACCCACTCCAGTATTCTTGTCTGAGGAATCTCCATGGACAGAGAAGCCTGGAGGGTTACAGTCCGTAGGGTCGCAGAGTCTGACACGACTGAAGCAACTTAGCACGCATTGAATTTAAAGTGTAGGTCAAAAATGTGATGCTTTGGAAAGGTGCTACATTAAGCCATGAACACGCCATGTTTAATTAGTTTTTCATTTTCTTTACAATGAAAAAAAAAGAAAAGAAACAGACATGTGGGGTGTCCCATTTTGGTTTTTTCTATTTTAAGAAACATTACAATTCTTAAAAATGGTATTAGCGGTCAAGGGAGTAAACAAAGCAGTCACTTTCCTTTTAGAGATGAGAATCATGAGATACGAAGGTGTTAGCTACTCTGTTCAAATATAAGCTAGTAAGAAGTGGAGCTGAGACTGAAACTGTTTTACCTGGATGTAGGTAACCTTTTAAGAACTTCAGGCAGCTTTCCATGACGCCACTTAAAGGACCTTCTAAGATCAGTTTGATGCAGTATCTGTATATTATAGGTTACAGGGAAAAAACCCCAAGAATTTAAATGGGATTCAGGATTGAAGATGGGTATAGGCCACAAGTGTGTAGAACAAGAATCTTATGTACATGATATTAATAATTTATATTTATACAGGTTATTGTGCCTTATAGGGAATTATTTAGTAATGTTTATATAGGAAAAACAGAAAGAAAAGAAACATTTTATCAAATAGTAACCCCTTGGCTGTGTTGAGAAAATTCTCTGAGGTTAATGAAGTTTTCCTTGGCCTACTTACTGCCTTCAGGACCTGATACCTACAAACTTACTTCATATTTTGGCACCACCATTTCACCTTTGTGTCTGTGGCCCATTTGCTTGCAAGAAGTAATCATTTGACTCCTGTTACCTTCCTGTTGACTCTCTGAGAGGGGAGATTAAGGAAAAGTGCCTCACAATGCAAAATGTTTTGAAATTTTCAGAGAGCTATAACCAACACCAGCAGAAACTAAGGGTAAAAGGTAAAGAAATAATTATGTATCTTTTCTTTTGCCTTTTTGCAGACTTTGTACTTAGTCTTAGATAATTTGCTCTATAATTTTGCATGGGAAAATGCACAAAGACAAACTGTGTTTTCAGTCTCCTTTGTGTGTGGGGAGGGAGCTCGTAAGGGTGGGAGTGGGAATTATTTTTGGTGTCAGGGAGGGTCTGGAATATAAACAATTACAAAGGCAGAGGAAGCACATGTACTGTTTCCAGTGACAGGCTAACACATTAAATGTAGGTTTGAACTTGAGTCACCAGGCTGAATTACTCTCATGTCTTTTCCAAAACTAGGAAATATATTGTTTGTAGTTGGAGTTAAATTAAAACTATATGTTTCATGGCGCTCAGTTCTTATTCCTCATACTGTGGTCTTTTTGCACTGCATGGGTATTTGTTAACTATCAGAAGGTTTATCACAGACCTGAAAGTTATCTGAAGATGTCCTCTGGAATTGGCAGGTACCTCTGTTGCCCTCTGTTTGTTTTCTGCTTGGACAGAGTTACTGGGTTAAGTCATCCCCATTTTTATTATTTAGAATATCAACTTATCAACCTCAAGGAGAAAATGTTCCAATTGGTGGTGATTTAGTGAATATTAGTATGTCTTCAGATTGTTTGTTACAACTTCATTATGGAAAAGAAATGTGACTGAACTTTACTGTTCTGTCTGGGAAACATAATAATTTGATGATATATGTTTTTTGGGTAGAACTCTTGTCAATTAATAAATGATTTATTTAATAAACAGAAGTAACCATAGCTCTGTTTGAAAAGCTATTTTTATATGTACTTGGAGCTATATAGATAACCTAAGTAAAATGTTAATCAATAAATATTTCAAGACTTGATAACATATTCCTTGAAGGAAAAATACATTTATATTTGTGAAATAAGTAGTAATAACAACAGTAATAATGACTGACCATAGGAAAAATTTGTTAATCCCACACCTTGTTACCTCAAAACTTAGTTAAAAAATACTTCTTTACTCTAGGAAATCTAAATTCTTGGCCAGAATTCCTTTTTATTTTTATATCTTCATCCTACCTTTCAAGCTAATATTCTGAGTTTTTCAGTCATTTGTTTTCTTACAAATTTCTTTATAATTCCTAACTGGATCATAAGGACTGGAAGTTAGGATTTGTCTTCTCTAACTTTTTATAACTTTAGGTTAGTACAATGCTAAACATATTTAGATACTTAACAAATACTGAAATCTAATTAATTACCAAGCAGTTAATAGAATGATTTTGAATCACTTTGTCCCCTATAAAAGATCAGCTTAACGATCTTTGGTTTTATACTTTACTTTCTCTGAGATTTTAGAAAGGAGAGTTTTCTCTTTTATATGAGTTTTAACCTTTCATAAAAAAAAAGTTGAGATGCTGAGTGTTTTATCATAATGCATCACATATAGGAGCAGTGTAATGATCGTATGAAATAGGGTTTATAAGAATACTTAGTAAAAAGTTGCATATTACAAAAAGTTATTTTATCTTTTTTTTAGAAGTATCCAATTAAGAAATGAGAATCTGCATCATCTGTGTCCACATTATTTCACCTTAAGTTGTTGTTGTTTAGTTACTAAGTCATGTCTGACTCTTTGTGACCCTATGGACTGTAGCCCTCCAGGCTTCTCTGTCCATGGAATTTCCCAGGCAGGAACACTGGAGTGGGTTGACGTTTCCTTCTTCAGGGCTCTTCCTGACTCAGGGATCGAACCCATGTCTCCTGCCTTGGCAGGTGGATTCTTTACTGCTAAACCACCAGGGAAGCCCAAGAAATATAAAGCTAAAGCAAATTCACTGCAAACAAGAAATGCACTGATAAGAAACTGCAACACTTTGGAATTATTTTGAAATTTAAGTAATGAGGTATACTTACATTATTAGACATTTACAAATACAAATTATTTAAAACAGTTAAATGTTTCAAAAAGTTGGACTATGTAATAAGATAGATTGTTCATATTTAAATTTTAAATGATTTTGGTGACTTTTAATTTATCATTAATATTTGATCTTTTATCTCCATATAAATAATACTGTTTAATTATTTCTAATAGTCATGAACCAGGACTTCTTTAACCAACCTTCTAATCTTTTGCTGGTAAATTTAGACAGTTTGCTCATTCTTTTGCCATGCTCAGTCAGCCACACATATTACCCTCCTATAAGAATGTATAAAATAAGTAGAATTAAGTGATCAAGTATTCACGGAAGAGTTTGTGTTTCTCTGGATCTGTTATCCATTTAAATATTTGGGGTCTTCTGCTTCAGAAATTAGAAATAACGTACTTTATGTCCCTTGTTTCTTCTATAGGGCATTTAACATAATACTGTAACTTCAACATTTTATGTTGTAACTTCAACATCTCAAGTATGTTCTAGTAAATCATAGAAAAATGGGAACACTTGGTGCATTTTTCTAATGAAA